CCACCCGGCGGTCCGGGGCCCGCCTGGCTTTTCTCACTGGCGGGGTCGGCAGCGCCAAGAGCGGCAGGTTGTCAGCCTTGGATGTAGCTGCTAAGTTGGTCTTTTTATGAAATCAAGCTTATAAAAGGTTGCATACGTGGGCTCTTCACTCGAGTTTGGGGTTTTGAAGCGTTGTATGTTTTATATATGCAACCCTGGAGCAAATCACATCCTCATCTCACGTCAAATCGATAAAACACTGTGTCGAGCAATACCATATCATAGCGTAGTTGAAAAATAATCAGGCAAAGCAAAAGGAGCTTTTACAGATGATTATTTTGTGCAAATTTTGAAATTGTACTGAATGTTTACTTCCGTTTTGAGGCATGTTGCTTCCTCCAGGCTCTTTTCTTAGTGTGTATCGCAAATCTGTGTGCGCAGCGCTGGTCGTGCATGGCGAGAGCTGTCCCCTCGTTGCTCTCTCGCAGCGGCCGGGCGCGCCGCGTCCCTCCGTGGCGTCCCGTACTCTCGTCACGTCCCTTCACTTCTGTGGCTGTGTGTTTAAGGGGAGTCAGACAAACGTCCCCCTGTTCTCGCACGTGGTGCTGGGTTGCTCTTGCCGTACAGGGCCGCAGGGGAGCGTTTGGCTGGAGCGCAGCCGGTGCGGTTAGAGGCGAAGGCAGAGAGGACGCGCGCGGCGCCTGGGGAGAGCGCGGCGCCCGGGCCCGCTCGTGCGCGCTCCCCGTTTGCTGCGTTTAACTCTGTGCTTTCCGTTTAACAGAAGGACAAACGAGACACTTCCAACTTCGACAAAGAGTTCACCCGGCAGCCCGTGGAGCTCACGCCCACCGACAAACTCTTCATCATGAACCTGGACCAGAACGAGTTTGCTGGATTCTCCTATACTAACCCCGAATTTGTCATTAATGTCTAGAGCCGGGGCGGGCGCTGCCCGCCGCCTGCAGTCAGCAACGTCCGATCGCCCTGTAAATACCAACACTCGTCTTCCGGGATTAGCAGTGCATACATACATATCCTCATCAAAAACGTGGCGACCGCTTGTTTTAGGAGGCCTCCATATGTATGTGTCACTTGCTAGCTTGGTCTCTCTAGCTGGGGATGTCGGGGGCTTGGGTTAGCAGTCAGTGGTACTTCTAGGAGCTCTCGCTGGTGGTGACTAATAGAATTTTTAAACAGAAATACACCAAATTGCTACAGTCTTTGTAATTTTTGAAATCAGATGCTGAGATTCCAGTGAACTTAGTTATTCACAAGTTGTTTCCCTTGAATGCTAAGCATGGTTGATATTTTAAGCAGTTGTGCTGAAGCTTGCAATGACTGTGAACTTGTCTTAGAAGAGCCTTTTGTTCAAGACATGGATACGTTTGATCAGTGTGGAAAAGTCTGCTTATAGACATATTTTTAAATGCATTGTATATACAGTCAGATTGGCTCACTGAAGCTGTCTTCCTCTTTAGCCTACTGTAAACGTGTGCATTTCAGTACATTTTCTCCTATTACTCAGGCATTAAGACTACAAAATGACTTTCATTTCCAGTTCTTGTAAATCAGAGCAAATCTTTTTCTAAGTGAAAGGTGGGAATTTTTTTTTTAACATCTGGAACAGTTTGCAGTTTTGATATACTATGTCAGCACGCTCATAAATCTTTCTCCTGTTTTTCACAGACACTGTCAAAATTTAACAGCTCTGTAAAGGATATTAATATTCTACCAAAACAAAACACCTTTATAGTCTCGGTTTACAGTTTAGCAACCGAAAATATGCCCGCTACAAAAGGGCTGTACTGAGGGCTATTTCTAAAGGAAACTTTTATACTTTACACCCTCTGCTATTATCTTGAAGGCTCAAAATCATGAATTTTACAGACATCTTGATTTACCTGATTTTAGTCCAAATTCCTGGGGATATTACTCCATAATCCAGGACCTTCTGCATCGTTTCAGAAGTGCAGAATCAGGAAGGAATATTCCAGCTGATGTTTTTAGCGAGCGGTTTGGCTGCGCGTGTAGCAGCCGGGCGGTAACGGCCGAGCGAAGG